TGTTTGAGAGGCCAGGAGGGGGTACTAATCCCATCAACCAATCCTTCCTAAATCCAGATCCAATATTCGAGCGTCTCTGAATCATCTTACCTCAAGTTCAGTAGCAACAAAGTACCACTGGTAAAGACCTTAATATATGACTCACTGACTCCTACGAATTTGTAAAGTTTTTATAGAGATATCCGGGACTCTCTAACCGTAATTGAATTTAACTACTGCTGGCTATATATCTAATAAAGTGGATACAGGGATACAAGCAACATAAGACCTGTGAGGAAGCCTCATTTCTTGAAAAATAATATTCCACGAGGGAACATATATCTGAAGCAGAACACGGAACTTCCTAAATTAATGTCGCGCTCGATAACGTGCATTTGAACTAAACCAACGGCACCCAGAAATTTGTTAGCGATCATAAAATAGAAATCCTGATAATGATTTGTAATAGGAAACAAAACCGGCCATTGGGAGAACACTTTTCTCCCTGCTGATATCCATTACATTCAGCGCTTAAATTAAGGTTGTTTTCATTGTGTCCTTTTTCAAGCCTTTTGGGTGTAATATATTTTTCAAATTTGTTAGGGGCGGCAGGAATATTCAGTAGATGATAAGTGTGTACAGCATTGAATCAAAGAGATTGTTTCTTTTTAGAGAGATTTTGAGGTTATAAATGTAAAGAATGTAAAGAATGGTTTATGTTTAGAAAAGTGTAAGATTTATTATGAAATAGAATGTGAAAGTAGCCTCATACAAAACTTTTAACAAAAACTTTTTTCTGAATTCCGTTATGAAAGATTTTGCATGGGTGATTTTCCCCAACAAATTGAAGTTGACTACTTAAACAAGCCTTTCACGTAAAATAAGAAGAAAGGAAACAAATGGCTTGGATAAAATCCAATGCAAATCCAGAACCGAAAGGCACAAAACCTGTCTGAAAGGAAAGAATACATAGTCGAGCGCGACAAAGGATCGTGGTTTGCCCAACTTTCAATGATTTGCGGAGCTAGAACATGTTTAATTTTTCCCTTGGTTTTAACCTTACCCTACCATCGAAACGTACTGGAAGTATATTCGACTGACCAGTGAGATAATATAGCACAAAGAGATGATTTTAAGTGCCGCTCTCACTAAGAGCGGTCCTCTCGATTTCCCGTTAGAAAAAAGTTTTCTTTTATTTTTTCCCGTGAAAAGGGTTTAGGACGCATGTTTCAAGAATACTCTAGTTGTTCTCCAATTCTCTCTTTTTGCGTCGCCACTAGTCAAAAATGATTTTTGACCAAACCACCCCTGTGAACGGCGATCGAAAGTGTAAAATGTCGAAGATTCTGTCCAGCGCGCAGCGACTACAACAATGTAGCTCTGGGAACTCTATCTTGCTACAAGTTACAAGATGTATTCAGTTAGTTCACAGACAAAATATGGAAACTTCAGCTGAAATATTTTACATACCAGCGTGATCAGAGGAGACCCTTCTCTTCGACCTTAATTTGCATATTAAAAACTCACTACTTTGTACGAAAGAATTCTCAAAATACAGGCGTTAATCGGGCTTGAAAGACATATCAGTGCATTGTTTATACACCAATGAGGTCACGGATTGCCTTAAACCCGCGGGTAGATCTATAGCTTCCATCCACCAACTTCTTAAAAACAACGCAAATCCATGTGTTTGCTCAATTGCGCTCGTGTCAAAGATCATTTGCATGATTCTGAAAATTGACCACTATCTCCTTTTAACCGTTCAAACTTCGTTCGTTTATCTTCTACATTGAAGATTTTAGGTTAATAGCAACTGAATGGAGAATAGATGCCGAGTTGTCCTAAAACGTTGCGGAAACGTGATCGGTCGTAACGCTTGCAAATTTGACACGAAAATAATTCTGATGCCTCTTTTGAAAAGAAACAATAGCTTGAACAGTAGATATCGCAAGATCTTTGGCCATGTTACAAAATAATACTCAATGCACTAGAAGTGCACACATCGAGTTCTGAATGCAATTGAATAGTCTGTTTAACAAATGCAGACGTACAGTAATTTTAATCTTTACCAAATTATGTCATCGCAAAAAAGTTCTAGGACCTGAGAGCATCTGAGTGAGGGACCGTTAGATTTTTGATTAGGGGTACGAGGGGGCTGGGGGTTGGGTAACAAGCCCCAAAAAATCTATCACAGCCTTAAAGGAAGAAAAACATCGTACAATTAGCAAAAATCCCCCCCTCCTCAAAAATCTAATGGTCCGTCCCTAAGGTACCTTTTACATTATTCCAAAATGAGTTTCGTTCTGGAAAAGAAATGGATTTCATACCGCGTTTACATTCAAGACAATCTAGCCTGTTAAAAAAAAGTATTTGTGTCCTTTTCTGTCTTTTTCTATGCTTTTTCTATGTTGACAGAAATATCGGAAGTCAAGTATATTCGTTACACGAGGTCACACAACTCGGGTAATATTCACGGTGAAAATTCGCATATTTGAGCGGTCGAACAAGAAAAGTCATTTCTCGAAAACTAAAATATATTTTCACAAAAAAACTGCTGTGCAATTATTAGGACATATTGGGCTACAAAATATAAAAGTAGGAGTCAAAACGAATTTTGGGCGACTCGCCCAAATATTTCAAATTTGTTCTTAGTTGGATTGCGGGAAAATACTGACACACTTCGGAGTTTGATTCTTTGTGATGACTTTTTGCAAATAGATTTCATCAGAGGCATGTCTAGTACTCAATTAAATGACGGTCATTTGTTGTACTCGCTTCCTTCGACTGAAGAGATGAAGTAACAGTTAAATCGATTTTTTTGTCATGCAGCGTGCGGTCGTGTTTTTGAAAATGGCGCGCGCACAATTTTTTTTTCTTGTGCGCACTCGCGAGTCTGTGAAAGAACAGTCTATTAATTATAAGGGGTGTTATTCTCTGGAATACGATTGCATTTAAACATCCGGATGTAAAATAATGAACGATGGACTAAAGATTCGAAACTAAGAAGGATTCATGAACTAGGAGACTTTCATTTCAAAGCAACATCGGCCTGAATCTTTGATTTAAATAATGACGATTTTACATATTTCTAATGGCTTCCGTACTAACATTTCGTGGGAGCATGGGCTTAAAGCAACGAGATAAATCAAGCAAATAAATAACGCTTCAAGTATAACGTGACAATCTATGTGCGTAAAAATTACTTGAGTCTTTCAATCCCTACAAGATAAATGTATCCATGTTAAAAATATAATTCTCATAAATTAAATAAACTAATTAGACATTCTCGTGAGTAGATAATAATTGGGAAATGTCGCGTGAACCGGAAACCAAATGATACTCATACCTTGACCTGTTCGTTTGTTTTTGTTCGCTTTTTTTGCACACAGGGGTTGCCAAAGCTTTTACTTGCATTGGCTTTTTGTTTTGTTTGTCTTTTTTTTTTGAGAAGAGAAGTAACAACTTTTTCAGTTTTCGAGCACTCTTATTTCTTGAACTTTGTTGTCGTATACAATGCAATTGAAAATACATTAACTTATTTATGATAGGCTGTTGAACAACAACCAGCTGAGGAATTTACCATCAGGCATTTTCAATAGCAATACCCATCTAGAGTGGCCGCATGGCTGCAGCCGCATTAACACTTGGACTATGAAATGTCCTTTGAAACATGCATTAGTTCAGGAAAATTTGTTCGCGAAATAGACTATCAAAGAAACATTTGTAAGGAAATTTGTTAACGGAATTATTCTGGGGTAGAATTTCGCCCTTTGAACCTATCCTCTTCCTTAAATAGCCTCATTAACAAGTCAAGAATATTCTATGTGGCTCAGTACTCAGGTCTGTGTCTCAATTTTCCTATAAATATTCTCTTTTGGACGAAGGGACAAAAATTTAAAAAAAAAAGGAAAAGGAAAATGTGACAACCCCATATACAAATTATTATGTAATAATTGTGGGTATATTTTAGGCCTTTCTATCAGAGCATGAGAACAGAAATAATAACTTTTTTAGGGCAGCATTCTTATTCTCTGAACTCTGTTGTTGTATACCATGCAATTTATTTTTGATAGGTATTTGAACAACAACGAGTTGAAGAATTTACCATCAAGCATTTTCAGTAACAATACCCAGCTGTGGATACTGTAAGTTTGGAATCTTTTTTAATATTTGTGTAAGAGCAACGCATGGAATCCAACCTGCAAAGCAGCCGTTTGAATGCGTGAGTGATATCGCACATTTGGGTTATATCCCAATAAAGCTGCATTAACACATTTTCATTTGAAACATCCATCGGTTTATAAAAATTCGTTCGCTAAATAGATCGTTAAAGAAGAATTTGTAAGGAAATCACTCCGTGTGGTGCAGTGGTAGCGCTTGCGCTCTCTAAATAGGCTTAGCGGGGTTCGATTCCCTCTTACAACGAGAACGCCACTTTTTTTCCTTTATCTGAAGGAGTGAACAAAACAATAAAATAACTAATATACTTTTTTTGATTAACTGACAGTCTATTTACCAAACTTTATTCCTTTGACTGTCGTCACCTAACCTGTTTGTAAATGCATTATTTTGGGCAGATAAATTATTTTCTACTCCACGTTTTATGCCTTATTTACGCTCTCCATAATTAGTAAAGTTTATATGCTAAGATTAGCCACATTTAGAATAACTTAGAACGCGGCTTTGTTGAACAATAGCTAACTCTGTTTAATTAACAGACCCATAATTTTTGTGGGAAATGAGACTAATCGTGCCATATTTGTGTTTTAAAAACAAACTAGTTTTCTGAAGTCTGTGAATAAGAGTCTTCCTCTTTCCCCTAAATTTCATATTAATGCGAGCGGTCATCTGATTCCATTGCTCACACTAAAAATGGCGAGTCAAACTTTCCAGTGAGAGTGTGAGACATGTTCAACTGTTGTTTCTGTGAGACGGTAGAGTAGCTAGTGATACTTTGAACGTTCTGTCCTGACAGTTGCATAATATCAGTTGGAAGCACGTCGTTGTTTCCAGATTTTACATTATTTACTGCCAGAGTAAAACAGTGCATCCGGTCTTCGGATTTCATTTCCGCGGGTCGCTTTTCTGCGTAGACTTTGTAGGCCTTTTTCTGGACATTTCTGGTCGTTCGGCACAGCAGAAATTTTCGGTGCAATGGCTCTTACATTCCGGGGATCGTTTCCTGAACGAGTTTTGGTTTCTCTTTCAGTGAATTCGAGGTACTCCTGCCCTGTGGAAGTTTTGACAAAGTTTTAAGTCTCCCCCTGAACACATTTCTCTGTGCCCCTTGCAGCCTATTAACCCGAACTGGATTATGTTGTTGAACCATACCGTGTTTAAAGGCGCTTCTGCCGTGGAACTTCCCAAGAGATCCTTTCAAACAGAACTTGAATATCTTCCTCACTTAAAGCAGCAGAAGCATTAGGCTTGTTGCCCATGCCTTTCCGTTTTAGATCCCTTTGCTTTGACTGAAGCGCTCTCCGAGTTTTCTCGAACTGGACGTCTTTCATAAAGCAAAGTCCATAGTTTATTTTTCTTCGAATGGCGCTCAAAGCTAGCGAAGAATGCCCTTAAGGAATTAGGCTCGTATTTCTAGTTGTCTTCTTTTTTGCGAACCGTTATAAGGAACTCGCTGACAAACTTGTCTCGCCTTTCAAAACAAGAAATTCATGGAACAGCTCAACATATTGTTTAGTCTTTTTCTTGGTGTTTTCATTTTCCCGTCCGTCTATGAACTCCTATGCTGCTAAACCTGTAAACGGTTAGTCTGATTTGAAGCCATCTTTCTTAAAAAATGCGTCGTTGTCAATGTGATAGTGGCTTTATAAGGGTCGTAGTAATATATATCACATCCAACAAACTTTGTGGCCTCATGCACTGCATGTATGTAGCGATGAATGAAATTACGGCGCCACCGTCACTCCGCCGATGAATTGTTAATACGTTTGTATTTTCAAGCGTAGCGCTGGTGGGTATTATTGTAAATTTATTCCGATTTCTTCGAGAAGTTGACATCCTCCAGGTGTAGCGTGAGATTTTTAAGGTGAACGCACGAGAAGATAACACCGTCCAAAGTAATGAATCTAGGAGCATGCTCTTACAGAAGATTTTAAATCTAGGTTCTCGAAAGTGCCATTTCCTGCATTTTTCATTTCAACATTGATTGATAAAGAAAACAATAGGTCGCTTAGGGCGAAGAGTCAACTTTTGGCGGACGGGATTGAGAATTTTCTCTTCTAATGCTGTTTCATGACATCAACAAGCATAAAGAAGCTTCAAAGTGCTCAATTCAGGCGTCAACCATAAGTTGTATACGTAAATTTCATTTACAGTTAAGTCCGCTCTTCGTGCGGTGTTGTTTGTCATATTCGAAAATGAGACCGCTTTGCTAAAAAAATTAAGCCGAAATCACAATATATTTTCGAATTTACATACTCTTCTCTCTTATTCTAGTTATTCTGAATAAAAATGTCATCGGGAACAAGTTGGACTTTTAATTTAAGCAGAGGCCAGATTGAAAGTTGTATGTTTACGGTCATGGAAGTAGAAGGAAATAGATGTTAAGCGAAAAAATAATATTCAGTGTCAAAAACCATTGAAAAATAAAAAAAAATACGTGATTTGTTCTTTTAAATGATCGATCTAAAAACGCGAAGCGAAAAAGTTCTTCAAACAAGAATTTTGTGAAAAAACGAGCCATTTTTGATAGTTAATACTATCAAAAAATAGGCCTTTGAGCGCAGAACCGATTTTCGCACAGGAAAAACTTATTTTGCATTATTTCTGGAAATTAAGGTTGCTTCGTATACTTTTAGACTAAGACTGATTCATGGGAATAGTTTGAAAGAGATCAATTTTTTTGAACCGAGATGAACCGGTCCGCTTCTGGAGAGACTGCGACTTAAATCTCCAGAAACCCTATCGGCATATTCTACTGCGAGATGTGGCAGTGCATTGAAGTTCCCCTGCTCTGAACTCACTGTAGCAAATAATCTCTGACAGCTGTTGCTTATATCATGTTGTGACCTCATGTAACGAGTTTACTTGACCTTCAGTATTTCTGTCAACATAAACTTCTGTTTTATCAACTAAACTTAATTCCTTGTCATTGCTGAAGCTGGCAAAGAAATATTTAGTGAATACTTTTGTCCGACATACTTTTCCTATGTCGAAAAGTAGCAAAACAAAGACAGTTTTAACAAGAACCGATATGACACAATCTACTGAGCTTCCACATTTAAAAAACAAAAGCATGGTTATAAAGTTACTGTAAAATATTTCCTTGTGTATTTGAGTTGTTCCATCTTGAGACCAACTCAAATTCCAGCAAAATTTACTTGCTAGAGACTATGAAATATACATGGTGTTCATACATCTACTCCATCTCATTATATTAGTTGTATGACAAGTGTGACACATATATATAAATTCAAAGATGAAACAACCCCCGAAATATCAAAAGATGGTTTTTTTTCCCTATTTGCATGATATCTAGAAAAACCTTCCAGGAATTATTGCATTCAGAAAACTAAAATGTCCAGATCCATCTATGATTCCTTTGCCGGCGGAAGTCAAAGAATGTTTACAAAAGCTAATCTGATCGACAAGCTATATGCTGATTTAGCTAGTTTATCTGTTGTATAAGTGTCTCATCTTACATGATAATATAGAGATTTGCTGTTCATTTAAGTCGTTCGCTGGTGGAACTTGTGGGTTTAGTTATCGAGAAGACCGAAGTTGCATATCCCTAGTCGTTCCCTTGTGTAGTTGTCAAAAAGACACTTCAGGTCACTTGCAGAGTTGCAAGTTTTCAATTATTTTGTCGGGTGCCGGCATCTTCGAGACGCCAAAAGATATCGATGATTTTACAATTTGCCCCACTCAGATCAAATCTCGGTGTTGGGTGGAGTCGTGATTCCAATAGTAGAGGCAGATTGTCTAAAGAAGAGTGCGGCCGTAATAAAGGTAGGGTAGGGATCGACATTAAACTTTCTCAGAAACCACTTAATTGCCGGCTCAACACAAGCCTTCGCACTCCGTTCGAGTGCTGTTACGTTCTGATCTAGGTCTTCCTCTGCATCTACAGTTGCAATTGCACGGACGTTAGGGAAACAAGGCGCTTGATAAAGTTGGGAAACGGCGCTTAGTTTCACTTAACAAGCAAAAGCAAAAGGACCATCACCCTCCAAAAATGCGTGGCTTTCTCAAAATGTTCGCCAACATCAAAAGTAGCGGCAAGCTCGAGCTTCAAGCTCAATAGTCGCTGAAAAGGTTGTGGTTATCCATCGTGGTGAATAACGATAGAAGCTAAGTTTTTGTCACGATGTAGTCACGTGTGGTGTAGATTGAGACGTTTCGACTCCAGACTGCTAGTCTTCTTCAAGCGATGAGGTCGACTGGTCATGCGTGATCTTATAAAGCATGGTGCTCTGCTGTGATTAGTTGTTTTTCAACAGCTCTAATAGGCGCATTTCGATCCTTGCTGTTCACTCAGTGATTTGCTCCCTCGGCGGTCCGCTGTCGCACGGCTCTCCTGTTGCTGTGTTTTTTGATCGTGGGCATCCACGCTTCTGAAATTTCTATTCCACTATCCCTGTTGATGTTGTTAGGGTGAAGTCTTATATGATTTGCCTCTATGACCCTGCGGGTGTAGTAATAAGGGTCACGATCAATAAACTGTACTTCGTTCCAGAGTGGCTTGTGTCCGGTGTTGTGGGCATGCTCTGAAACGGCGGAGGTCTCGGTACGGGCGAGTCGAATGTCTCTTGTTTCTGCAAGAAAGAAAAAGGATAACCATTAGAAACCAGAACAGATGACAGATGTTTATTCTCTTCGGAGATGATGGAGGGTTTTGTTACGAGACGTTTGGCGCGCTCGTAAAGGCATTCAACAATACCGGTCTTTGCTGATTGAGGGCGGTGTCAATCATGCGCTAAGTATTGATCGGTGTGCGTGGGCTTCCTGTATACGCTGGTGGTGAGGCGGCCGTCAGGTTCTCTTAAAATTACGGTGTCTAGGAAGGCGAGTTTGTTGTCTTTTTCTGTCTCCATGGTGAAGCGGATGGAAGGCTGATGGCTGTTTAGATGCTGTAAGAAGTCATCTACGTCTTCGCGATCCAGGATGGTAAAGGTATTGTCCACCAGATCCTAGGCTCGTAGGGTGATGTATTTATCGCTTGTTCTTCGAAACTCTCCATGTACAGGTTAGCAATAACAGCGGAAACTGGACTCCCCATGGTAGCGCTGTTTTTTTGCTCGTAAATCGATCTGTTATACTGGAAGAAAAAGTGTGAAAAAATGCTTTTTAACCACATAATGCCAAAAAAATTGCTAGTATAATCGGGAAGGGCCTACCCTAGGGTACCTTTTACATAATTCCATACATAATTTCTGTCTTTTTCTATGCTTCCCTCGCTCCAAGAGGATTCACACAGATATGACTCTGGTATCATGTAACAACCGGAATGAACTCGTTCTTCAACAAAACTCATTCCGATATCATGTAAAAGGCCCCCTAAAAGTTTTTATCCCCGGAGCATCACGCTTTGCTTTCCTGTCAGAATACTATAAATTTCAATAGCGTTGAAGCAACAACAACCTGCTTTTAACTGCTTCGCAGGCACTGAAACAACAATTAGTGACCCTCAAAAGCACATATTCTAATATTTTCTATGCAACATAAACAAAAATCTTTATACAGGGTAAATATTCATTTGTGTCGGTATCAATTATTGCGTGACTAGCCTATTATATAAATGGGGAAGGGGAAAACACAACGCAAAATTAAGGCTCCTGGCAAACAGCAATACCCAGGCATATTATAATAATCGAAACAGCTAATAAAATCATAAATAAACAAAATAAGAGTGTTATGATAGATTTGTTTACAAATTGTAGAGATTTATGCCAGTAAACGGTGGCGATAGGTAAGCACACCATGTATATTTCATAGTCGCTAGCAAGTAAATTTTGCCGGACTTTGAGTTCGTGTCAAGATAGAACAACACAAATACACAAAGAAAATTTTTACAGTTACTTTATAACCATCCTTTTGTCTGTTGTAATCTGGAAGCTCAGTAGATTCTGTTATATCGGTCATTGTTAAAACTGTCTTTGTTTTGATGCTACTTTTCGACAAAGGAAAAGTATGTCGGACAAAAGTATTCACCAAAAACTAAATCTTTCTTTGCCAACTTCAGTAGTGGCAGGGGGTTAAGTTTAGATGATAAAACAAAGGATTATGTCAACAGAAATACCGGTGGTCAAGCATATTCGTTACACGAGGTCACACAAATCGGGTAATATTCACGGTGAAAATTTGCATATTTCAGCGGTCGAACGAGGAAAGTCATTTCTCGAAAACTGAAATATATTTTCCCAAAAAAGCTGCACCACAATTATTAGGACTTATTGGGCTACAAAACATTAAAGTAGGAGTGAAAACGAATTTTGGGTGACTTGCCAAAATGTCTCAAATTTGTTCCATGGATACTGACATCCCCTCTTAGTTGGATTGAAGGAAAACACTGACACACTTCGGCGTTTTTGATTCTTTGTGATGACTTTTTGCAAATAAATTTTATCCGAGACCATGTTAAGTACTCAATTAAATGACGCTCATTTTATTGTACTTGCTTCCTTCGACTCGCGAGAGGAAATAACAGTTTAATCGATTTATTGCTATGCAGCGTGTGGTTGTGTTTTTAAAAACGGCGTGCGCACATATCTTTTTTTTTCTTGAAGGCACCCGCGAGTATATGTAAGAACAGTCTATTAGTTACAAGGGGTGCTATTTTCTGGAATACAATTACATTCAAACATCCGCATAGAGCAAAAATGAACGATGGACTAGAGATTTGAAACTGAGCAAGATTCATGAACTAAGAGACTTTCATTTCAAAGTGACATCCACCTGAACCTTTGATTTAAGTAATGACGATGTTATATATTTCTAATGGCTTCAGTATTAAACATTCAGTATTCAGTATTTCAGTAACTTGTAAATGATTGCAAACCTAGTACTCAGATACAAGACCACATAAGCATCAGCTTAAAGTATTATCGTGCTGAAATAAAGTGGATGCATGTATATGAAAATTAATTAATTAATTTTGGCATTTGGGATTTACACGGAAGGCATTGAATCTGGGGAAAATTAGTTTGATAATATCACTAGATACTACTCAGTTATAAGGTCAGGTGACACGTTTAGACTATACCCGAGAAAAATATTTATGGATTATGAAACGAGGCTTTGTTGCAAAGACGATTGTTGATGATCAACTGTCGGAAGCTGAAACGAGCTCCACCGTGTGCAGTTAATATAAAGCCCGGTTACTAAGACAAGGGAAAAAGAAATAGCAATTTTTTCTCTCTTTCTTTCAAAGCATTTTCGTGGGAGCATGGGCTAAGAGCACTGAGATAAATCAAGCTAATAAATAACTCTTAAATTATTAAGTGACAAATTATGAGGTTAAAATTAATTGAGTCTTTCAATTCCTACAAGGAAAAATGTATCTATGTTAAAAATAAAATTCTTATAAACTAAATAAACTAATTGGACAATCTAGCGAGTAGATCATGATTGAGAAATGTTACATGAACCGGAAACAAAATGGTACCCACACCTTTCCCTGTTCGTTTGTTTTTGTTTACTTGTTTGCACAGAGGGATACCAAAGGTTTTACTTGCTTTGGCTTTTTGTTTTATTTTGTTTTTTTTTTTTTTTTTTTTTTTTGAGAAGAGAAGTAGCAACTGTTTTTCGAGCACTCTTGTTCCTTGAACTTAGTTGTTTTATACCATGCAATTGAATATACAATAACTTATTTTGATAGGCAGTTGAACAACAACCAGCTGAGGAATTTACCATCAGGCATTTTCAGTAGTAATACCCATCTAAAGTGGCCGCATGGCATTTGAAACATGCATTAGTTCAGGAAATTTTGTTCGCGAAATAGATTATGAAAGAAACATTTGTACGGAAATTTGCCAACGGAATTATTCTGGGATAGAATTTCGCTCTTTGAACCTTTTCCTCTTCCTTAAATAGCCTCATTAACAAGTCAAGAATATTCTATGTGGTTCAGTACTCAGGTTTATGTTTCAATTTTCCTCTAAATATTCTCTTTTGGACGAAGAGATAAAAAATTAAAAAAAATAAAATAAAAAGGAAAAATGTGACATCCCCAAATACAGATTATTTTGTAATAATTGTGAGTTTATTTTAGGTCTTTCTATCAGAGCCTGAGAACAGAAATAATAACTTTTTTTAGGGCACTCTTATTCTCTGAACGTTTTTGTTGTATACCATGTAATTAAAAATACATTAATTTATTTTTGATAGGTTTTTGAACAACAACGAGTTAAAGAATTTACCGTCAAGCATTTTCAGTAACAATACCCGGCTGTACCGGCTGTAAGTTTGGAGTCTTTTTGAATATTGGTGTAAGAGCAACGCATGGAATCCGACCTTCAAAGCAGCCGTTTGAATGCGTGGGTGATATCGCATATTTGGTTTCTATCCTAATAAAGCTGCATTAACACATTTTCATTTGAAACATGCATCGGTTTAGGAAAATTCGTTCGCTAAATAGATCGTTAAAGAAAAATTTGTAAGGATCATTGTGGCGTAGTGGTAGCGCTTGCGCTCTCTTAATAGGCTTACTGGGGTTCGATTCTCTCTCACAACAAGAACGCCACTTTTTTTTCCTTTTTATGAAGGAGTGAACAAAATAATTAAATATCTAATATACTTTTTTTTTTATTAACTGACAATCTATTTTCCAAACTTTATTCTTTTCACTGCCGTCACCTAACCTGTTTATAAATGCATTATTTTGGTCAGATAAATGATTTTCTAGTCCGCGTTTTATGCCTTATTTACGCTCTCCATAATTAGTAAGGTTTATATGCTAAGATTAGCCACGTTTAGAATAACTTAGAAAGCGGCTTTGTTGAACAATAGCTAACTCTGTTTAATTAACCGACCCATAATTTTTTTGTGGGAAATGATAGACTAATTGGGCCATCTTTGTGTTTTTAAAACAAACTAGTTTTCTGAAGTCTGTGAATAAGAGTCCTCCTCTTTCCTCTACAATTCGTATTTATGCGAGCGGCCATCTGATTCCATTGCTCGCTAAAAAATGGGGAGTCAAACTTTCCAGTGAGAATGTGAGACATGTTCAACTGTTGTTTCTGTGAGACGGTAGAGTAGCAAGTGATACTTTGAACGTTTTTGTGTCCTGACAGTTGCATAACATCAGATGGCAGCACGTCGTTGTTTCCAGATTTTCCATTATTTACTGCCAAAGTAAAAACGGTGTATCGTCGGTTTTAATTTCCGCAGGTCGCTTTTCTGCGTAGACTTTGTAGGCCTTTACTGGACATTCTGGTTGTTCGGCACAGAAAACATTTTCAGTGCAATGGCTCTTACATTCCATGGATGGTTTCCTGAACTAGTTTTGGTTTCTCTTTCATTGAATTCTAGGTACTCCTGCCACGTTGAAGTTTTGACAAAGTTTTACGTCTCCCCTTGAACACATTTCCCTGTGCTCCTTGCGGCCTAGTAACCCAAAAGGGATTGTATTGTTGAACCATACCTTGTTTAAAAGCGCTTCTACCGTGGAACTTCCCAAGAGATCTTTTTCAAACAGAACTTGAATATCTTCCTCACTTAAAGCAGCAGAGGCATTAGGCTTGTTGCTCATGCCTTTCCGTTTTAGATCCCTTTGCTTTGACTGAAGCGCTTTCCGAGTTTGCTCGAACTGGACGTCTTTCATAAGACAAAGTCCATAGTTTATTTTTCTTCGAATGGCGCTTAAAGCTAGCGAAGAATGCCCTTAAGAAATTAGGCTCGTATTCCTAGTTGTCTTCTTTTTGCGAACCGTCATAAGGAACTCGCTGACAAACTTGTTCAGCGCTTGAGGAGTCATTAGTTCATTTGCCTCGTCCCGCCTTTCAAAACAAGAAATTCATGGAACACAGCAACATATGGTTTAGTCTTTTTCTTGGTCTTTTTATTTTCCTGTCCGTCTATGAACTCCTCTACTGATAAATTTAGGCTCTGAAAACGGTTAGTCTGATTTGAAGCCATCTTTCTTGAAAAATGCGTCGTTGTCAGTGTGATAATGGCTTTATAAGGGTCGTAGTAATATATATCACATCCGACAAACTCTGTGGCCACATGCAATGCACGTATGTAGCGATGAATGAGATTAGGAATAACGTCGCCACCGTCACTCCGCCGATGAATTGATCATACGTTTCTATTTTTGAGCGTAGCGCTGGTGGGTATTATTGTGCGTTATTGTTCATCTAATTGTAAATTTATTCCGATTTCTTCAAGAAGTTGACATCCTCCAGGTGTAGCGTGAGATTTTTAAGGTGAACGCACGAGAAGATAACACCGAGCGCCGAAGGCCGTCCAAAGTAATGAATCTAGGAGCATGCTCTTAAAGAAGATTTTAAATCTAGCGTCTCGAAAGTGCCATTTCCTACATTTTTCAATTGAGCTCTGAGTGATAAAGAAAACAATAGGTCGCTTAGGGCGAAGAGTCAACTTTCGGCGGATGGAATTGAGAATTTTCCCTTCTAAATGCTGTTTTATGGCATCAACAAGCATAAAGAAGCTTCAAAGTGATCAATTCAGGCATCCACCATAAGTTGTATACGTAAATTTGATATATAGTTAAGTCCGCTCTCTGTGCAGTGTTGCTTGTAATTTTCAAAAATGAGCCCGCTCTGCTAAAAAAATTTAACCGAAATCACAATATATTTTCGAATTTACATACCCCTCTCTCTTATTTTAATTATTTACGTTGGACTTTTAAGCAGAGGCGAGATTGAAAGTTGCATGTTTACGGTCATGGCAGCAGAGGGAAATAGGTGTTAAGCGGAAAAATAATATTCAGTGTCAAAAACCATTGAAAAATGAAAAATTACGTGATTTGTTCTTATAAATGATCGATCTAAATATGCGAACCCTTAAGTTCTTCAAACAAAAATTTTGTGAAAAAACGAGCTATTTTTGACCATCAAAAATAGGCCTTCGAGCGCAGACCGATTTTCGTACGGGAAAAATTTAGTTTTCATTATTTCGGGAAATCAAGGTTGATTCATATATTTTTAGATTAATACTGATTCGTGGGAATAGTTTAAAAGAGATCAAATTTTTTCAGCCGAAATGCACTGGCCCGCTTCTAGAGAGACTGCGACTTAAATCTCCAGAAACCTAATCGGCATATTCTACTGGGAGATGTGGCAGCGCGTTGAAGTTTCCCTGCTCTGAACTCACCGTAGCAAATAATCTCTTACAGCTGTTGTTTAAGAAACTATCAAATTGTTCTAACTCGACATATGTACAGTATTACAAGCTTCTGAACTTACGGTATTTTTCAGGAATATTAAGACAACTAAAACTGAGTAAATTGAATAGCGCGTTCAATCACTTAATTTTTCTTTCCTACGAAATTTACCATTCGAACCAAAGAGGAAGAATTGTACACTTGTTTTATGATAGAAATAATAATGATGATAATAAAAAAGACACAAAAATGAGAAAGCAAAGGAAGCCCAGACATTGAAAAGTTTCTCTCAACCAGCCTCGTTTCCATGTTCTTGAGGGTCTCCAAATGGCCTTGAGCCGCAATTTTTTACAAAAATAGATTTCAATCTTAAAATATCTCTTTCATGATCAAAACCAAGTTTATATGCAAAATTTGAGCCAAATCAGTGGGCCTGTCTGTCCGCAGCTTTTCGATCTGGCTTCTTTTTTATGGACTATCGCTTTTGATAAGGCCGAACCAACACTTGACCAAGGATATTTTATCAAATCTCTCGGTTCAGGAAAAATCGTTCGCTACATACATCACAGGGAACTTCTGATTGAACTTTTCGAATTCAATCACAAAAAGGGCAAAATCACGAAAATTGTCTAAGCTATTTCAAATGCTCTCTGCATAAACTATTGTTTGTGTTTTCACCTTATTTTATAATGGTAAGGAAAAGCCCATTTAAGAAACTCGAATATCATGTTGTTTCCCATGCCGACATTGAAATCTTTCCTGTGGAAAATAATAGATTGACGAATGTGTTACTTACGGATGGATATCTTAAAAGACATTTGCGCCTGATAAGCGAAACTAAATAATGGAGTTGACAGATTTACCTGAAAATATAAATACGTTGCTGTACTATGAGCAACATGGGCTCTTACCAAAAACATTTCTTGTCTCTTAAAGATATTGATTATAATGATAGTACGTTGTTACGGGAAAATTTACTGATTTTCCCGTGTGTGTTATTCGGAACATATTTATTCGTAAACTTTCACATTTAACCATTTCAAGTCCTTTCATTTCAATAAATCAAAAATATGCATAAAAACCACAGTAGCTTTTGAATAGATTTTTGTTGTTACTCGCTTTCATCATATGCACCTGCTTGTCGGCACTTTTGTTTTTTATTTCATGGTTTTTTTTAGGTAAATATAAGTGTTAATGGTCTTTCTGGAAACATTGGTTTTCATGGTAGATAGCAGCTGAGTTTAAACGCGTAAATTTAATTTCTTTTCATGCGATAGTTTCCAAACCAATCTTGCGTAAATAAGCAGAAACTTTTAATTGCTTTTCCGTTTTTTATTTCCTAAGCTGCGCTGCTGCAATTAAGATAGGTATTGTTTTCTATACCAGAGCTGTAAATTCGCACCTAGGTTTCCTACTTTAATGGCCTAGAGTTTATTGCATCCGTCTTTTTAATTTTGAGATTCTTTCCGTCGTAGAAACAGATGGAATATTTAAGTAGTTTTTGTTTAGCTTCAAAGAGACTTTTTTCCGCTCCTTTGTGTCCTTACCCAAATATTGCGATTCGTGTAACAATAGCACTTCGCACCAGTTACTTCTTAAGCAAGTACCTTGTACAGCTTTGATGATTACAAACTAGAGTATGCTTGAGGTCATGTCGCTTGTTGGCCTGACCTAGAATAAAAGTACTGTGGAACCAAAGATTGTCTTATCCTTGACGTCCATATAAGCTCGCTCGAAGTAGATCTCCGTGTACCAGGAAATCGTGACGAGTTTCCGTTCTCGCTGCCAAGTCGTCTCTACAGAGTTAGTTCCCCCAGTTGTTGTTGTGCCGTCCGCGAAGATTCAGTTTTCCAGTCTTGGGGCGAAAACTTTATCGTCACAACGTTTATATCAGTAATGCGCCTGAAGACTAACTGTCGTCATTTGTTGACAGGTACTTGGACAACAACCAGCTGGAGAATTTGCCAAAAGACATATTTATGAACAACATCGACCTAGGACAGCTGTAAGTCAACAGTGAAGGTTATTCTTTCTAATTTTAATCATGCAGGCAATGTACAGGGACGATGAGCAGGGACAACGAAATACTTACAGGGATAATAGTGACAGTTACAACATTGCAACATGACAGGACGGAAAATGCGTGCACTGTAAGTACCTCCCGTTGTCCCATACAAAGCCTTAGAAAACTTTTCTAAGGCTTTGTATGGTACAACGGGAGGTACTTACAGTGCACGCGTTTTCCGTCCTGTCATGGATCAGAAATATTCACCAAAGTCACAAAGTGTATTATTGTTTTAAAAAATATCAGTAGCTAAGGCTAGGCTTTTTAGTCATCAATCAGACAAAATTTATGATGTATCCACTCAGGCCATTAGTTCTAAGACTAATTAGCCTTCGAGCATCAGGGTGGAAGGAAGGAAGGGGAGGAAGGTTGGGTAGCCACTGGAGGGTTACATCTTTCATGCTAGGAAAAGGGAGTTCGTCCGCTCGCACTTGATTCTAAATCTTCGATAAGTTCGTTACAGAAAATAAACAAGTAACTTGAATAGGCAATAATTTTTTTTGATACTCTCTAAAGCTATGCAAAGCCTTAATTGTGTCTAACGTTTGCATAACCTTCTTGGATTCTCCCAGCTTCCCTTCGTGTTTAGATGAGAATATATAAACACAGAAAAAAGCTCTCTGCCGCTCAAATATAGAATTGACGGAATCTACGAGATTTGGTCCGAACGTTGCTAGAACAATGAAGGAAAAAAAAACGATGTTGCGTTTTTTTTTCTTTTTCGCCGCAAATATTCTATCGACAGCCTAGGAACGCATCTGGTTTGCAAATGTTTCGGTGCTTAAACTCGGCAGCTCAAATTAAAGAAAATTAAGAGCTAATGTCAACGTGCATCAGACAAACAGCGGCAAGTCACCCAAAATTTGCTTTCATTCCTACTTTCATGTTTGGTAGCCCAATATGTCCTAATGATTGTGGTGTAGGTTTTTTTGTGGAAATATGTTTTAGTTTTCGAGAAATAATTTTTTTAGTTTGACCGCTCAAATACGCAGATTTTCACTATGAATATTAGCCGAGTTGTGTGACCTCATGTAACGAATTTACTCGACCTTCGGTATTTCTGTCAACATAATCCTTTGTTTTATCATCTAAACTTAATCCTCTGTCATTACTGAAGCTGGAAAAGAATTAATTAGGTTTTGGTAAATATTTTTGTCCGACATACTTTTCCCATGTCGAAAAGTAGCATCAAAACAAAGACAGTTTTAACAATGACCGAAATGACAGAATCTACTGAGTTTCCAGATTTAGAACACAAAAGCATGGTTATAAAGTTACTGTAAAAACTGAAGGAGTGAACAAAATCATTAAATATCTAATATACTTTTTTTTTATTAACTGACAGTCTATTTATTTTCTTTGTAAAACGGGCACAAGAAAGCCTAATTTTCCGCTCTCCAACCGGTGGAAACCTTTAGTTCTCGACGTCTTGCACCTTACCATCTCGTAAGAATGAGTAATTGCATTTTGAAACTTGATAATGAACGACTACGAAGCGTTTGCTTGTTCCATTGCGCGTGTAAACATATTGTAGTGTAAATGACCTAACTATGGAAACCAAAAGCAAGTGAATACACGCACAGGGTCCAGAGGAGTTTGAAAATTTAAGTTCGCTGAGTTTGCGAGCTAAAAAAGACTCGTTAGTACCTTCGACCATGTTAATTTTAATTATCCTCACGTTAAATTTGCGTTGCGCAAGGTATATACCGCAGTTCCTGGATTTAAAAGCGCACAGAACTCAAAGATAAACATATCTTTATTTTCTTTCAAAGGAAAACAACGCACGGTCAAGCCCTCACAGTTCGAGAGTTGCACTGAAATGGCTTCCTAGTAAAATACTTTACATTTAAATTATCGAGCAAAAATGCTGTTAAAAGGCAGAGCTAGTAAGAATGAAATAAGACATCCTGAAAATATGTCGAAAAAAACAAAAATTTCTTTTTTGTTGCTTATGAGGACCCGCATGCTTGAATTGACAAACACCAGTAATAATCCGAATCAAGAGGTTTGATTCTTTTGTAAGTTTTGCTAGGGTTTTCCTCTCACACTGAAAGTGTGGGCGATTGATTTAAAGTGTTTATTGCCACACCTATATGTCTTCCGCTTAGAACAGCACCCGAAAAAAAGAGAAACGGGCTGCTGTGCTGCTTGCTTGCTTTGCTGAGAAAAAGTTGGACGAAATGTTGGATAAGTGAGTTCGTCAAACTCATGCTTTCTTTTCTCCGGAATAGAAGAGACAGACTGGGGAGTTATTTCTCTCGAACTCATTCCAGTGAGAGTGTGACTGATATTCAACTGTTGTTTCTGTGAGACGGTAGAGTACCGAGTGATACTTTGAACGTTTTTGTGTTCTGACAGTTGCATAATAGCAGTTGGCGGTACGTCGTTGTTGCCAGATTTTACATTGAGTACTGTCAAAGTAAACGGTGCATCGTTGGTTTCCATTTCCGCGGGTCGCTTTTCTGCGTAGACTTTGTAGGCTTTTACTGGACATTTCTGGTTGTTCGGCACAGAAAACATTTTCGGTGCAATGGCTCTTACATTCCATGGATCGTTTCTTGAACGAGTTTTGGTTTGGTAACTTAAAATGGATTATGTTGTTGAGCCATACCGTGTTTAAAAGCGCTTCTGCCGTGGAACTTCCCAAGAGATCCTTTTCAAACACTGAACTTGAATATCTTCCTCACTTAAAGCAGCAGAAGCATTAGGCTTGTTGCCCATACCTTTCCGTTTTAGATCCCTTTGCTTTGACTTAGGCGCTTTCCGAGTTTGCTCGAACTGGACGTTTTTCATGAGGTAAAGTCCATAGTATATTTTTCTTCGAATGGCGCTGAAAACTGGCGAATAAAGTCCTTAGGGAATTAGGCTGGTATTCCTCGTTGTGTTCTTTTTTGCGAACCGTTATAAGGAACTCGCTGAGAAACTTGTTCAGCTTGAGGAGTCATTCGTCCATTCGTCTCGTCTTGCCTTTCAAAACAAGAAATTCATGGAACAGAGCAAGATCGTGTTTTTTTTTTGGTGTTTTTTGTCTTTCATAAGGCAAAGTCCATTGCTTTTTTTTCTTCAAATGGCGCTAAGAGCTAACGAAGAAAGCCCTTAAAGATTGAGGCATGTATTCCTAGTTGTCTTCTTTTTTACGAACCGTTAGAAGGAACTAAACTTCTTCAGCGCTTGAGGAGTCATTCGTTCATTTGCCTCGTCTTGCCTTTCAAAACAAGAAATTCATGGAACAGAGCAACATATTATTTAGTCTTTTTCTTAGTGTTTTCATTTTCTGTCCTTCTATGAACTCCTCTATTGATAAATCTAGGCTCTGAAAACGGTTAGTCTGATCTGAAGCCATCTTTCTTAAAAAATGCGCCTAAGCTCCTAGAAATGTGCAAGTGACACGGCTTTTTTCACTAGTGAAAATAATGATAATCGTATGACCAATCAGCTGGCGTCTCTAACGCGAAGAAACTATTTTTGTCTCGATGAATTTTGGCGCGTAAATCTCGGTATGTATATAATAATGAATGATACGCGGCTTCGCTCGGAAAGCTTCGTTTTGCACCAGCTAACTAGCGGTTATTTATTTTAAAATTGCCGACTTGCATAGAGTGACAAACAGCGACCGCGTCGTTAAGGGGACATGGAGCCGGTAAATGTTGCTAAAGGATTGATAGGGCTTATTAACTGCGTGAAGCGATAAGGATTTATATTTTACGCGGTAAGGATTAACTTTTAAAACAGTAATTCATGTGTTCAAACTGAGCTCCTCAGGACCTTGTGAAACACGTCGTGCTCACTGAATTCCTCACTGAAAATCCTGAGGGAAAGTGATTTGTCGTGAGTGTTTCCTTTTTTATTACAACTTTCGAATGGAATAGATCTTCATTTTCGCTTATATTCTGTTAGTAACATACTTGACAAACACAAGCGACAAATTAAGCTGGGTTGTAAAAGATAAGCTAGCTTGTTGAAGAAACAAAGGAACTTAGCGTGTTTAAAAAAAAAAAAAAAAAAAAAATCTAGCGAGTTATAGATTCAAAGCGCTACCGCGTTGACCAGATATGAAAAATGGCTACCAACATGCTTTCCAGAATCAATTGTTTTTATGTGCATATCTGCACGGCAAGTGTGTTATGCTCTTGGCGCGCGAGCGTGTTATAACGTGCCGTGTGCGTGCGTTCACCTTATTCACTGAAATCCGTGGAGTGTCACAAATAATAATCCCGATACTGATTTGTGATAGGAAAAAAACCAGGCAATGAGGAAAAAGGTTTTTCTCCGTGCTGATATCCATTATTTCGAGCGCTTAAATTAGGTTTGTTTCCATTGTGTCCTTTCGGGTAATATTCACGGTGATAATTTGCATATTTTAGCGATCGAACGAGAAAAGTTATTTCTCGAAAATTGAAATATATTTTCACAAAAAACTGCATCACAATTGTTAGGACATATTGAGCTACAAAATATGAAAGTAGGAGTAAAACGAGTTCTGAGTTACTGACGCCCACTCTTGGTTGGATTGCGGGAAAACACTGACACACTTCGGTGTTTGATTCTTTGTGATGACTTTTTGCAAATACATTTAATCAGAGACCATGTTTAGTACTCAATTAAATGACGCTCATTTTATTGTACTTGCTTCCTTCGACTCACGAGAAGAAAGAACAGGTTAATCGATTTATTGTTATGCAGCGTGTAGTTGTGTTTTTTAAAAACGGCGCGCGTACGAATATTTTTTTCTTGAAGGCACCCGCGAGTATATGCAAGAACAGTCTATTAGTTACAACGGGTGCTATTTTCTGGAATACAATTACATTCAAATATCGGCATAGAGCAAAAATGAACGATGGACTATAGATTCGAAACTGAGCAAGAGTCATGAACTAAGAGACTTTCATTTCAAAGCGACATCCGCCTGAACCTTTGATTTAAGTAATGACGATTTTATGTATTTTTAATGGTTGCAGTATTCAGTATTTAAGTAACTTGTAAATTATTGCAAACCTAGTACTCAGATGCAAGACCATATAAGCACCAGCTTTATCTATTGTCGTGCTGAAATAAAGTGTA